TTCTCTGTTGAATCTGTTTCTCAATCGTCTGCTCTGTTCTTAGCTTGATGGGTTTTTTGCATCTTCTCGTTTTTGATCGTTTTTGCCTCTAGAACATGGCTTCGAAGCGTATCTTGAAGGAACTCAAGGATTTGCAGAAGGATCCGCCCACATCTTGCAGCGCTGGTGCGTTCTTAAGCTTTGATCTCTTTATTTTGTGATCTAAATTTTTGCATACGTTGTGGGAAATGAATGAATCGATTTCTGTTCCAATTTCATTTAGGGTTTTTGTGATTGATTTTGTTGTTGACCTTCTGATCTGTCTTGATGTGATGATGATTAGGGTGATGTTTTTGGAATTTTGATTTTGAGGATAGGTCCTGTAGCTGAAGATATGTTCCATTGGCAAGCGACCATTATGGGGCCATCTGATAGTCCTTATTCGGGAGGTGTTTTTCTTGTCAATATTCATTTCCCTCCTGATTACCCTTTCAAGCCCCCCAAGGTAAATGATGTTTTGTTTTCAAATGATCTATCGTCTGTGCAAGATGATTCTGTGTTTACCGTTTTTCTTTTCGTCGGAGTAGTATACGACCTCTGAACCGAGGTTTTGATGGTTGTGTATTGTTCAGGTTGCTTTTAGGACCAAAGTCTTCCACCCTAATATCAATAGCAACGGAAGCATTTGTCTTGACATCCTTAAGGAACAGTGGAGCCCTGCGCTTACAATTTCTAAGGTTGGTTCGACTTTTTCGTTTATCTTCTGGTTCCTGAATCTGGCCTGTCATTGTGTGATGTCTACATGATGAATATAACTTTGGTCATGTTTGGTATACAATACATGTGCTTTTGTTGTAATAAAGTTATGTGTGGCGTAGCATGGATTGCGTACTGGTTTGAAAGTTCCATAGTTGATGGAGAATCTTAGAATACCCGAGTAACACTGGTAAATTCATGACCTTGGTAGCATGGCCTTTAATCAACAGCATAGTTCAATTTCTGCTTTTGTTTTCTTGGTGGGTGTCTGTGGTTTGATCACATAAGCATTCTGGAAATTGTCTGAATCACGATCTTGCTGCTAAGTTAACATAAATTTTTGGGTTGAGTGGTAGTTTAATATGGTATCATAGTAGAAGGTTCTGTATTCGAACCCCATTTTCCTCACTAGTTCATGATTTCTTTTTTAGTTAAGAATAGTCCCATTTCCCCCCTTTTATCATTGAGATGATGGGCCCTGCTTGTTGCATTATTCTCATGGCGTGCTAACACCCCACCAATCCCCGAACGGTTTGCCCCACCCAAAGGACAGCTCTCCGGGGCAGTCGAGAACAGTCATTAATTTGTGTTTCCACCCTATAAAAGTGTTGAGGAAGAAGTGGTTGTTGTGGCCATCATCACTTGTTAATATGTAGGGTACCTCAGCTGGCATCAATGTTTAGAGAAGCCCTCATTCTATCTACATTGCTGTGACTTCGTTATCATGGAATAAGATCAGTTTCCCATCTGTGAACTTGCATTCCTCATCAGCTTTATTGATTTAGATTTCACTATAGACCCGCACAACTGCTACTCGCAATCCCGCTTGGGATAAAGTAAAAGAACGAGATTGACATGATTTCATTTCCCTTTCATCTTGTCAAATAGACGGGCAAATACCTAAAAACACTAATGTCTAATGGTGTTGATGAACCAGGTCCTGCTCTCCATATGCTCATTGCTGACCGATCCAAACCCAGACGACCCTCTCGTACCGGAGATCGCACACATGTACAAGACTGATCGAGCCAAGTACGAAGCGAGTGCACGGAGCTGGACTCAGAAGTATGCGATGGGTTGAGATGCAGTGTCGGTGATGGTGATGATGATGACGATGGTGGGTGGGATCTTTAGCATGGCATCCTTCTGTATTTTCCTTGGTTTCTTGCAGTTATTTGGGCTGTGTAGGTAAAAAGAAAAAAGAAGTTTTATGCTGTTTTTTTAGCTTTGCCACTGAAATTTAATTTATGAATGAAAGATGGAAGCAAGTGTCTAAGATTGTCAAATTAACTGGATTGAACATTCCCTCTTAAATGGGGATTTGATGCAAGCACTTATTTATCTCATTCCTAAGTTTTTTTTTTCCCCTTTTCCTTTCTTGGATTTTTGGCACTTTTCTAGGATGGGTCGGGATTTCTCGCGGGGAATTTTTTGTTAACCCATCTCTGGAAAATATCCTTATTCGAAAGACGAGATGGAGATGGGGATTCTTTAGGGGAGCTTGTTAGGAATATGGTTCTTAATCCTTTCAAAGTTTCAATTCGATAAATTTCAATTTTTAGAGTTCAGATTTCAAATTCAAAATGATGCCCCATAAGAAGTTGATTGGTACTACTGATTAATTTTCTTGAAAAATAAATTGTAATTGATAATAAAATCAATTGATATATATATTTTTAACTATCGTTCGTTTTGTGAAGTTTTTCTTAATAATAATTGTATAAAAAGCCATACCAATGCCTTTTTGTTTTTTAAAAAATAATACTTCACAGCGAGGTTGGTAAGTCAATTTCAACCTTAAATTTTTTATTTTATCAATTTGTACATTATAACTGAAAAAGTAGTACAATTAATAACTCCTCGGATAACAAATTTAAAATGCCCGTGAACCAACTAATAAAATCATACATATTTCTATAAAAAAAAAAAACTCTCAAAATCATGTCACGAAATTATGAATATACTCGAATCCAATCAAAATAAGAGTCACTCAAACTTAGTAACAACATGTCCAAATCCAACTAATTAAAAATATCTAACACAATTGGAAGAATAGTATCGAACATATTTTATTATCTAACTATAAGAACGACCATGGTTAGTCACAAATCTTTAGAAAATGAAAACTTAATTAATCGAGGGTCGTAATGTTCTCGTTCTTTGTTTCTCATTTTTAAGAAATATTTAGAAAATTATATAAAAATTTTGGAAACAACAAAAACAAGTCTATCTTTCCATTATTTTTTCAAAAACATGAATAAAAAATATTATTTTATAATTCATGAATAATAAAATCCATAATTAAAAAGGACAAGTATAACCTTAGATAATGAATATTTAATTAAAAAAATTCCATTTTTTTTTACTTTAAAATTTATAAAACAACAAATCAGAAACCATTACCAAACATGTTTTTCTTTTTTTTTTCTTTTAAATAAATAACAATAAATAATAGACAATTACACAATGCAGTTTGGTTATGATTTATTCATATAAAACAAAAGCAAAAACAAAAAATAGAAACATGCACTTAAAATAAAATAAAAAATTCAATTTTTTATATTTATGAAAGTAATATTCATTAAATTACTACCAAAAGAAATAAAGTCGGAAAGAAAATGTATATTAAAAAGATGTTACGTTCTTACAATTTCTTGTATGAAAGTTCAAAGTCTGCATTTTTACCACAGCCAACGTGCCAATGAACTGCAGAAAGTCAATATACAAAATCTAGGGCAAACCCAACTTCACTTTTCTTCTTGATTCCAATCTGAGAGACAGATCCTTCCAATTTTCCAGTTTTGGGTTCACTCGCGTTGCCTTATCCCCTCCGATTCGAGCTTTTTTCCCATCAAAACCAGCCCGGAGGAGAGATTTCGATTGCTGTGGTATTTTATTTGTGTTTTGTTCATCTTCCTTCGCTCCTTTCCTCTCCGCTTTGACGATTTCTGGATGCGATCATCTGCCACTGATTGACTCGAGGCTCCATTTCGGGGGTTCTTGAGGGTAATTTTCTGTTTCTTTTTAATGGGATTCTGCTGTGCTCTGTTTGAATTATTCTTCAGCGATTCGTTTGTGAATCTGGTCAAATGGGTTGCTGCGTCTTCCGCATTTAATTTTGCTTGCCCAACTTTTAATTGGGGAACAGCTAAGGAGTATTCTATTCTGCTAATGATTTTATTCTCTTTCTTTCTGCTGCAGTTCCCCTTTTTCTTTTTCCTAAGGGAATCACATTTCCTTGCTTTACCAATGGGCCAAAATAAGTTTTAAGAGTTTTTACGACTTTGGAATAATGGGAGAGAGGTTTTTGCAGTTTGTCAACGTTTTAGCTGTTAAGATTGCATTTAGCACTGTAATTAAAGTAGAGCGAGCCTATTTTTGATGTCTTCTTACCCAGAATTTATAACCTATCTGTGAATTGAAATTACTTGCAATAGAAAGAAAAACGTTGTATTTTTTTTTTTACCTTGATAGCACATCGCTATTCTGATAGTTTTTCCTTGTTTCAGGCTAATCTGTAACACATAGGACACTTCGAAAATCTGAACTCAGACCATCAAATGGGACTTTGCTCTAGTAAGGTAAGAACCGTATGGAAATCTTATGTGAGTGACGTAAGTAGTTGTTGATGTTTTATGATTTCCTTGTTTTGTTTTATGACTTAAGGAGTTTATGTGTAAGTAGTTGTTTTATGGTTTCCATCAAATGGGTCCCCAGTGGTGTGGCCTTTGTAAAAATTCTTCTGAAGACCTTGACCATATCCTATAGAGTTGCCAGCTCGTGCAGTCTATTTGAGGCTGGTTCTTGGAGGTTTTTGGGGAGTATTTGGATAAAGTGGAATAGTAAAATTTTTAGGGGTTAAGAGGTCTTGGGGGAAATTTTGGGAGCTGGTTATATTTAATACCTCTCTATGGGTATTTGTTTCTAAGGCTTTTTGTAATTATCAGTTAGGTGTTACTTTTTGTATTAGAGTCCCTTCTTATAGGTTGGTCCCCCTTTGGTAGGTTTGTTTTTTGTATGCCACTTTATATTTTATCATTTATCAAATAAAAGTTTGGTTTCTTATAAATAAAAAAATATATATATTCCCTTGTTTTGTTGGTCTCTTGAAAATTTTAATTGATTGTGAAACTTGTATAGAATGTGAAATCATGAGAATGATGGGTCAGGGCATTGCTTGGCCCAGGCTATGTGGGGTTTGAAAGAGGACTGGACATGTTTGCTTCTCCCGTTAATTGGGTTTGTAAATTAGATTTATTAATTTTCAATCTGTTTGAACAATATAATATTATTTTGGGTGATAGCATTCTGGAGGTTTTTCTTTGTCGTTTAAAAAATGAGGTCGTTACTATATCACCTTAATTATATATGGGTATGGTTGAAGATGGTGCTTTATCATTATTTGCATTCCATCATGGGAGGGATACTATCAAAACATTTTTGGCAGGAAATGTATAATTATAGGAAATATCATTTCCATATGATCTAAGTCCTGACATCAGCAATGCATCAAATTTTATGGCCCAAATTTCTTTTGAAAGGGAAAGAAAAATGATTCACACTTTCGAGAATTTAGCTTGATGCATGTTTTATGTGATCATTAACATTCATCTATCTGGGAAATTATTATGTTTGCTATTCCCAGCCTGAAACCAGAGATGATGAGCCTGAAAATCATGTTGAGTTTTCTGCTGGGAATGTGCATCTCGTCACGACCAAAGAAGCTTGGGACGAAAAGTTGGCAGAAGCTAGTAGGGGTGGCAAAATTGTAAGTTTTTCATTGTTTTATATGCTGCAGTTATAGATAGGTAATGCTTTATTGCTTTTAATATGTTTGATCAATTGAACAGATTAAAATATTTAGTTCCTGAGTTATGTAATCATCGGAACCTTAAGCACCGCTGCTGGTCCCAGATGATTTGATGCTCAAAGATGAAGCAGGCCTGTTTTTCAGAAACCAAAATAGTTGGGGAAAAGCTCTCATGCACTTATATTCCTGTTCCATCAACCTTGTTCACAATCATGCTTTATTTTACATGTATTGACATCCGAAAGTTAAATGGTGCTTAACGGTAGAGTATACTTCAGGTAGCTAAATAGTTAGTAAGGCTTTTGTGACGACAAGTTGGATGGTATTGTTGGGCGTCATGGATTATGGTTTGAACTTGAGAATGATAGTTATACCCTGATTTACTGCCTAGGACTTTTATTCCTCCCCTGCCATTTTTTTATTCGAGAAAAAAGAATGACTCACTAAGGTTAATGAAGGAAAGAGGAGAGTTCCAGAAGGGCATTTCACCTCTTAGCCATGGTATCATTAATTCAACAAGTGAGCAGTCTAACTATTCATATCAAGGATAACGTTTTGTTTGATGATGAAGAAGATTTTAATGTTAGTGTCAGTAGTGAGGATTCGGCAGAATTTTTGGAAAACTAAGAGGTTGTTAATGAAGATTTATAAGAGGTTTTCCTAATTGAGGATTTTAATTTACTTTTTGCAGAGGATAACCACCAATTACACTCTTTTCCAAAAAATGGATATCATTCTTTCTCCTTCTCGGGAGTAGCCTTTGGTAGTCGAAAAAGCTTCTTGTGCAGATAATCAAAATTTATTTTTAATTTTTTGAAGATGGCCTTACCCTAGTTCCAATCACTGAATAGATAGACTTTAATTATGGGCAACAGGTATTTGGTTAGTTCCGCTTCGCAGCAGTGCTGAAGGTTGAGATATTATAGTTTTATTGTCTTCTTAGTGGAGGGAGGTTTTAGATTCTTTACTTCTTCTTTCTGGCAATCAGTTTGTGTTAAGTGATGGTTTCGGTTTCCTCCTCAGTAGTCAATCCTTTTGATTTGGCAAGCTTTATTGATGACAGCTTTTCAGCATCTGTTCTTGGGTTTCAGATCTCATCTTTCTCGTGGGTTTTTTGTTTCTATGTTTTATTTGTTTTTCTTTTTCTTTTTTTCGCTTCCTTGGGGAGCTTGTATCCTTGAACCTTTTCTTCATTTTCATATTATCAATGAAAAGTTTGTTTCTTGTTAAAAAAAAAAAAACCACTAAACTGGGACCTGATACTGCCATGTTTTCCATAATCTTTAAAGATCTATGTGCACCGGAAACGAAAATGAAAAGAAAATACTTTGCTCTCTTTTAAGTCATTTGATAAATAATTTATTGCTTCATGCCTTTATTTTCCCCCTGCTTTTGGTCATTCAAACCATCCACCCATGCTTTATGTCTGATCAACTCATTTAAACCCTGTTTGTGTTCCTTGACCAACTTTCAGCATACTTATTTGTCAAACGATGGGTTTAATCCATTCTTAATTGAGATTATGCATTTGACATGACAGGTGGTTGCGAACTTCAGTGCAACATGGTGTGGTCCTTGCAAGATGATTGCCCCATTCTACAGCGAATTGTCGGAGAAATACCCGTCTTTGATGTTCCTAGTGGTTGATGTTGATGAACTAACTGTGAGTAGTGAAGAACAATATCATTTAGGGAAGACTTTGTTCACTCCTTGATATTTAACTGATTGTTATCTCTAACTACTGCATCTAATTGACATAGAAAGTAATGTTTTTTTCTTTGAGAATATAACCTTACAATTGTAAGGTGGACATTCGAACGGTCAGCCTATCATAAAGGTTATCGATATCTTAACTATTGAACTATGCTCATGTCGGTGACATAAGAGGCAATTTGATTAACATAGCCTGTAAGGTTATAATTGTTTCCAATGAAAAGTTAAAAAAGTTTTGCTATCCATAGGCATATTGGTGTAGAACAGGAGGTTTGATGCAAAGGGCGAAGTGTTCCATGTTCAATAAGTTTATCGTACTGTTACAGAATGGAGTCTGATAACTGAATAAAACATTGTGTTTGCTACTCATTTTGATTAAATTCACAGCATTTTTTATTCACTTGTAAGTTCTACATTGTCTAAGTCTGTTTGGTACACAATACATTTCTGAGTAAAATTGGGTTTTTATCTGTTGCAGGACTTTAGCACTTCTTGGGATATCAAAGCCACTCCTACCTTTTTCTTCCTGAAAGAAGGGCAGCAAATCGACAAGCTCGTCGGAGCGAATAAACCTGAACTACAGCGGAAAATTACTGCAATGGCAGATTCTGTGGCGCACGATCATCGGATATGACTTCTGGTAAATATCATTTTGAAGCCCTTTTGAGTAGCTTCTTTCTGTATTGTGGATGTATGATTTTCTCTGTATAATGCTTCCCTTTTTCAAGTGTAGACATGTGAGGTTGACTGAGTATGAGTAATATTTATTCTGAAATTATTGAGACTTCTTCAAGCTTGAGATTTTGATTTCTTGTTCCTTTGGGAGAAAAAAAATGTTAGATTTTCCGAGCTTGAACAGATCTCTCGTTTGAGAATGATTTTGTTTCGTTTTTCGATTTCCTATGTTTTTTTTTAAATAAGTTTTTCAAGTTTTGAAAACATATTTTTCATCTTAGACAAACTTAAAATACAAAATAGATTTTTAGAAATGTTTTTCTTTTAGATTCAAATTTTGACTAAAATTTTTAAAACACTTTTTAGAGTAGATTAGATGCAAAGGAAATTGTTCATCATCATACGTATATGTAAATAAAAATATTATCAAATGGGAACTAAAAATTCAATTATTGGACTTTTTCTTTAGAAATTTGGGAAACTCATGTCCTGTCGTATAAATTTGTTCTCCCTCACTTTGGACAATTATCCATTTAGCATAATTTGGACAAATTATATAAAAATAGCAGTTAAAATAAATAATTACTAATATAATAGAAATTAGAATCAATCTATGTATATATATATGTTCTACGTTCACATAAATAAAGGAGTTAAATATAATAACATATTAAATTATTATATTTTTAGTCAATTAAGGATTCATCCTTTGGCAAAATGAAAATAAATAAATTGTTATGAATTAATCATTCATCTTTTTTTTTTTTTTTTTGAGTACTCATGATTCGTCCAGTTAATTAATGATTCTCTTTTTTAAAAAAATTATTAGTATTTAAGAAGTTTAAAAATATGAACGTATTTATAAACAGTTAATTATTTTGTTTAAACAATATTTGCAATTATTTTTACATGAATACATATTTAATTTTGATTTTCACATAAAATCCCATCCAAGATATTGTAAAGATGAGGCAGCACTCATGTGGTTTGTTCATAATTTAGGAGACATTTTAAATAAATTTTGGTCATGAGATGTAAATCATTTATTGAAATGTCTCCTCTATACTAAAAAAATAAAAATAAAAATAAATGTCTCCTTTATATTCTGAATGCTGATTTGTCCCTTTTTTTTTTATTAAAAAAGAACATATTTCTTCTTTTAGTCAGAGATTCAACAGGTTCATGTCACTCTGAGTTCGTGCAAGTGTTGTGTTGCGTTGTATTATCATTACATTTAAGTTAAGGAACTTTAAGATTAATAAATAAAAATTTTAAAAAGTATAAAAATTAAGTATGAATGAAAAGGGATTGAGAAGATTGTCCCAAATATTTATATTTTACATTTCAATTTGATATTATTTTAATTTTTTAATTCTCCGATAAAGAGATTTTTTTTTTTTACCACTTTTGACATTATTATTATTTTATATCACTTTTGGAACAATATCTTTAACTAATTAAAATTACTTCTCTGGACTAGAAAAGAAATTAAAATTACTTTTTCATTTTCTTATTTTATTTGACCACTTCGTCAAAACTCAAAAGTACTTTTATAAACTTTTGAGAATGGAAAAATAGAATGCTTTTTCAAATGTAATAAGTGCCTCGGAAATGCAATACAATTATGAAATCTAATTGAATATACAATCAATAAGATTAATTTTTTTTTATCTCTATTATATGTATATATTCAATATATTTTTGAAGCTAAATATATCAAAATGGTTGGTAATTCTCAAATTGATTCTTAATATTTTAATATTCTAAAAACATATTAAAAGTGATTGTTGAAAATTGGTTAATTAAAAGCTAACGTGTAATTAAATAATTATTTTATCACATATTTGAACATGTAAGTAAATCACTTAAAAGAAATAAATCTTCGATCATATGAGCATCAAGGTTTTATTTTGCTTATGAATGAGTTAGGTTTCATTTATTAGGCAGTCCAAATATCATATCTAATTTTGTATTTTTTAACAAAATTATGAATGACTTAATTGAAATTTTTTAATACAATAAGGGTAAAATTGAGAATTTGAAAAGATAGCCTGTATTGAATTTTTCAATTAATTTTAGATGAAATTAATGATTTAAAATGATACCTTATAAAAAATTGAATCATCAACTTTTAAATTTGTAATAGTTGTCATATCCATTAAGCTAAGCTCAAATGGAAGACTTTAAAATAACATCTTTTAATATACCGTTTCGTTAGCACTTTTAACGAGTCGGTTTTTTTTTTTTTTTGGTAGTAGTAGTAGTCGTCATCGTCGTCTTGTTCCAAATCTAGTAAATTATCTGGAGTTATGTGAGTGTATTTGCAATTCGTATATTCAATTTTGGTTCATTTTAGTCCCTACATCTTCAAAATGTCCATTTTGATCTTTGTACTCTTAAAAGAGTGACAATTTTGATATCTATGTGCAAAACGGTCACTTTTTAAAAATACAACTAAAATGAACAAAAGTTGAAAATATAAAGACTAAATTTAGCGTTTTAAAGGTAGAAAGACTAAAATGAACCAAAGTCGAAAATACATTCACCAAAATAGTATTTAAACATTTCCGATCATTAAATTAAAACATGGACATTTCCTACTCATTCAATAAATTATACTTTGAAATCACCTATGAATTTTAATGTTCAGTTGTGACAAAGACTAGTTTGAAAAGAAGGAAAAAAAAAGATAGAAACTGAAACTGAAAAACATATTAAAGATGAAACTTTAAAGAATGACATAAACATTAATGACAAAATAATACACTTAAAGTAGTCAATAATAAAGAAACAGAGCATGCAGAAACCACACATGGAGGAAAGTATGGAGTAAAATAAGTTGGAATATACCGATATTTCAATCGATATTTTATACATACAACAAATTATACTACCAGGCCACAATAACAGAGGAGATTTTTCTTGGATTTGAATAATTAGAAGCCTCAAAGAGAGAAAAAGAGGGAAGATTTGTAATAATTGACGAGCAAAGATTGTACCTTTATATGATCAATCAAAACTATAGAAGTATGGCCTTACTGAGTTGAGTGAGTGAGGCAGCCTCTCCTTGTGATGTTAACGACCTTTTGGGTTCATGATCTGTGAGAAGACAGCGCTCGGGGTCAGCCCATCGGAATCTTCACTGGCGAGGCTTCGGCTTCCGATGCTCATACTGATTCCGGTGCTTCTTGAGTCGGTTATGTTTCCATCGATGCCGGGGGAAGCATCTGGGTCCTTCTTCCCTTTGTAAACTACGTCGAGCTGAGCTTCGTCTTCTTCGATCCCACTGCCTAGTTTGCCACTCTCTTCTGCGCTTTCCTGCAGCTGCAATGCAAACTCTAGATTCCAAAGAACATCGCCCATCGATGGCCTCTCGATGCCCTGATCAGACACACATTTCATTGCTGTTTCCGCGAACTTCTTGAGACACTCGGATGCGATCTTCCCCTTTAGGTATGTGTCGATTATCTGATCCAGAATGCCTTTGTTGTAGCAGTGTGCAGCCCATTCGGCTAAACTCACTTGCTCCTTGGGGAGTGTTGGGTTGAGGGCTGGCCGAGCACATAGGACCTCGAAGAGGACGACCCCAAAGGAGTAAACGTCTGATTTGTCAGTCAATTGCTGCCTCCTGAAGTATTCGGGATCCAAGTACCCGAAACTACCTTTCACTACAGTGCTAACATGAGTGTGATCCAATGTAGGACCGGTTTTCGACAACCCGAAATCAGAAACCTTTGCCACCCACTTTTCATCCAAAAGGATGTTGGTTGTCTTAACATCTCGATGAATAATCGTATGTTTGGCACCAGTATGGAGATAATGCAGACCACGGGCAGCTCCAATGCATATCTCGAGCCTTTGCCTCCAAGACAATGGTGGCTTGTGAGTCTTGTATAAATGCTCGCGCAGCGTTCCATGAGCCATGTAATCATAAACCAGGATCATTTCACAGTTCTCTTCACAGTAGCCAATCAACGAAACAAGGTGGCGATGACGAAGCTTAGAGAGCATTTCAATCTCGGTTTGGAATTCATGCACACCTTGCTCAGAGAGAGGGTTCCCGCGCTTGATCGCGACTTTCATAGTCCCACCATCAATCTCTCCCTTGTAAACCTTGCCAAAACCACCCACTCCAAGTACAAGAGATTCATCAAAGTTCTTTGTGGCAGCCTTGATCTCGGAAAACGAAAAGTGGCGACAAAGGTTGGAAGGCAGGGAGGATGTGTAGCTTCCAGTCGTGTTTGTCTTAGCAGATCCAGCTGAATGTGAATTTCCATAGAGAGAAAGAGGGAGCCATCCTGATGGTCCTTCAACAGTACTCGAATCTTTCCCACTCCAACGACGACGTTTAGCAACAACACAGAAACCGATGATCAGAGCTAGAACAACTACACCACAAACAACTCCAGCAATAATCCCTGCATTATTCTTCGATTTACCATGAGAAGATGCTGGCTTAACTAATGATGGGTCAATAACATCCTGTTTAGGTGCAGGAATCGGATTCAGCCCAGCAAGATTAGCATTTGTATCATTAATTTTGAATATCTCCACTCCATTCAAGATCGAATCGTAGTAATTCGGGACCGCAGACTTGTCTGGATGCAGTTCGAGCCATAAATCCTTCTGTGGACTTCCCTCGGCCGGAATGTAAACCACATAATCTTCAATCACGGGAGTATCATTACTTCTAGCCCAGGCAATCACATCGGCACCATCCGTAGCAGTTTGATTGTAGATAAAAATGTCGAACACTCGTTGGTTAACTTTTGTGATATTTACAGCAATCTCACAAAAATGGAGCCTAACAAGGTAGAAGAACCCAGAGTCAACAGAGAAAATCCATGTCAAATTATAATTCAGATTGACATTGTTATCAGGCCCCATAGCTCTAGCAGTCGAGTAGACATCAACTGGCGCAACATAAGTAGGAATGCTCGGTGGATAATTAATCGTCGTGTTCTGATCAGTGCTCATCGTTACCCCCATTGAAGCACCATACAAGTATGGAGTGTCATCAAACCAAGACCTGTACATTCCCGTATCAGCCGAAGGCGAAATATCATTCCCCCCGACATTCAACCGATAAACATTCTCGAGCGCAGTTGAGTTATCCACAGTGAACGGAGTAGATTGACCAACAATAAAAGTAGTGCCAGTAGTTTCGCTGTAAATATCGGCCATCGACACAATCTCAATCCCGTTCACGAATGCATAAGCTTTTGGGTGGGTGGAGGACGGAATGAAAGTCAAGTTCAACCTTCCATCTTCAACATAGATCGAGTATTCCTTAATGATATACGCAAAATTCAAAGCCTCAGTGGTCTGTGAAGCGCTGAAGTTCTTAAGAAGAGTATAGGATTGAGTGGCGACAGAGAAAAGAGCATCAGATGCATCAAGACCTCCATAAGAAGAAGGATAAAAGTAGAGACGAACGAATAAACGACTAGGGGCCACAGGAAAGCTATAGGTGAAATTAGAGCGAAAAACCCGGGCCGTCATGAAAGGGACTTCAGGAACTGCAGAGTTTTGAGTAGCGGCTTTCGACGCGGTGCTATCACCGGTCGCCGGAACAAATTTGGAGTTGACATCCGTCATCCATTTCCGGTGATCGATATCGTTAGCAGTGGGAGGTCCTCCACAATCCAGGAGGATGAAATCCCGAGGGACATAGTTATCTGCTAAAACCCCATGGAAACCGAAGAGCAAGCAAAGGAAAACAGAGACAGATGCAAATG